ATGTAAAGTTCAATATTTGCATGTTATTATAGCATGTTTGAGTTTTTCAGGGAAAAGTGCAGGTATTCATTGAGTCAGACAATTATTTACTTAAGTCGGAAACATGAGCTTTTTATTTCACAATGAGCCAGTTAAAAAATGAAAAGCAAATAAATGAACACATATGTCCTGAGGGAATTATAAACCTTTGACTCCTCCTCCACTCCCAAGACAACAGGGTCATTTACCCAGGTGCTTACACAAACAATGAGCTATAAATACTCTTGTAAAAAATATTTAATTATTATTACACAGAATTCCCCTGAGCTCCACAAAGCACCTGTCAGCTAACTGTTTTTGTTTCACAGCCCCCAACTTTTGGTTCATTCTCTCATTAACCCTTGTTTTTGGCAGCAGCAGGCAGCTGTTACACTCAGCACCAAATGGCAGACAGACAAGGTTAATGACTAGCTTGTGATCACAGCTAAGGAGCCAGATATTTCCTACAGGAGTTGGTGTAGACCAATAGAAGAGAAAAAAGGAAATTGAATACAAAAATAAAATCAAATGTGTTAACTTGGTGGTGCTGATGTTGCTCTCTCATTCCATTAACTGCTGTGTCCTTACAAGCCTTAACCCCAACTTTGCGGTGTCCCGGTGAACTTTGGCGAAGTCGTAGGCATCGCAAGGCCTCAGAGCCTCAACCAATAGCAAAGAAGTGTGTGTGGTTAATTGTCAGCAGGCGATAGTCAGCATGTGTGACCGTGCCCTAGCAGTGCAATACAGATTTTTAGAGACATACAGAGCTAATGAGATAAGGACTTTGCCTCTCCCACACACCTCCTTCACCCACATTGTTATATAGGGAGGATAATAAAATGGAGGGATTTTAATATACTTAGAAACGCTTATTTGACACTTATTCTGCCGTTAAACCGTTATACCACATGGTATATCGACAGTGCTTCAAATGTTTAACATTCTTTAAATTTTGACAACTGAGCAGCATTCAAGTCATTCAAATGGCCATTAAGTGCAAAATAAGACAGCATTTCAGAAAACATACAGCACAAAACAATGGCAATGATATTCACATCCCCTGCCCAGATATAACCAGTTTTGAAATTAGGGTGTACATTCATCATCGGATTTAACATGTTCATTATGTGAGTCCATCTGTCCATCCATCAGCTCTGCCCCTCTGAGTTTAGCAGCCCTGCTCTCTTCAGTTGTTTGTCCACATTGGGAATCAGTTTTTCGCTGAAGTCCCACAGTCGTTTGTCCACATTGAGCTGCTCCAGCTTTAACCCCCCACGCTGAGGCACACGGACATGAATGATCCGACAAACGTCCAAAGGAACCTTGTATTGTTGTCCAAAATTCTTGAGCACTTCGTGCACTGAAGTCTGCTCCACCATCCTGCGACGCAAAAGAGACATAAATCAGGTAAGTGCAATTCTTTGTGACTACCTTTATTTGCTATGACAGTCATGACAAATTGGGTGTGTAGATGAAAATAATTTAAGCTTGCTAAGCCTCTTGACAATGTCTTTATTTCTCCTGATTTAAGTGTCTACCATTCTAAATCTGTGTTAAATCTGCTGCGGATCATTTCTCTATTTGTCAGAGAAGTACCCTGTAAGGTACAAAAAAGGTCCTTAAGGTGATAACTGTGGGTGGAGTACATAGCTGCACTTTTAACAAAATATTGATTTAAATAGAGAGTTAGGTTTGTTGAAATAAAATAGGTCACTAGTAAATGTGTGGCCAGGGAATAATTTCATGAGCAAACAACTAGGGCGTCCTCGAGCAAGGTCTTTAACGCCAACCGCTGTGGTTGCAATGGGCACCTTCCCCCCTTTATCAATGTGTAACAGTGTGAATGTTATCAGGGTGTTCGTTCCTCCTAGTGAACCTTTCCTGAGTAAATCAAGATAAAAAAAAAAATACATTTATATCCTGGTACAAATACTGTAACCACTGCAAATGAGGTAAAGGGTTAGGGTTAAAAACGTTCTGAGCTGGTTTGACGTATGCATACAGGGCTTAGACATGTTAAAATGTTCCACGTATTTTATACATTATGCATTGTATTCAACTTTTTTTAAACACACACTACTCCTCTCCTTATCTTTAGCCTCCTTATCATACTTTCCATGTCTCTTTTCCATTATCTTAGCCCAGCCCAGATCCTTGGTTTAACCTGTTGTTTCCTGTAACACTATAATCCTGGCTCTTTTCAAACCCTGCCCCTTTTGGAAACTCTGTCAAATTTCTCCTTTCCAGTACTAAAGATTGTCTATGTTGAAAGAACAACCAACTTTTGATTATGATTAAAAGATAAAAGCTACATACAGTATACAGTCACATCTTAAGTTAGCTAATGTTAGCAAAATGTTAGCTAACTTGCTAGCCAATCTTCATAAATTGTTAGCTAGATAATTTTGCAAATATTAGATCTCAGATGTAACTAGCAAGCTGTCAATTGATGTAGATTTGCTAGCTAGTATTTTGCTAACCTTAGCTGACTTAAAATGCAACTAATATATATATATACATAT